GCGGGGGCGATGCGGGGGCGGGGTTGCGGGGCCGGTGGCGGGCCTGCGGGGTTAGGCGGCGGGGTACCCGGGGCTGGGCGGCGGCGGGGGTCGTCCGGCGGTGGCGGGGTTGGATGAACCCCGCGGCGGGGGTCCGGGGTCCGCAGCCTAACACCGGCTTTGCGCCCGGGGTTCCCCGCTCGACAACGCTGGCCAAGGGTACCAAGGCATAGGGAGTCAGGGCCAGGGGTACCAAGGCCAGAGCTATCAAGGCAAGGGGTATCAAGGCCAGGGGGATCAGGGAAGTCAAGGGTATGGAAGACCCTGCTTTGACTGGAGGACGGCCATCTGTCAACATTGTGATCAGCAGGGCCACACTATAAGGTCATGTAATATAAGACGGGAAGACGAAAGAAGCGGATTGATTTCCTCTACTATGGATGGGAATATCTACGATCAGTTTGGGGAGGCCATTGACAGAAGGCTTGGAGGAGTGAGAGTTGAAGCACAACGAAGAGCGGCAGCGGGACCACCGCCCCCTGCCATGTTCAGGCTATGGCAGGAGAAGGAGGAACCACCGTTTGGGGTGGAAGAAGAGGGAAGCGATGAGGAAGTGACTCAAGGGCTGCGAGGAGGAAGTGCGACGGAAGAGACCATAATCATTGAGTCAGATAACGAGGATGAGGAAGAAAAAACGGAGCCTCCGTCCGTCTTATTTGAGAAGATGAAGGACTTGCTGGATAAGATGGGGAGGTACCAACAGAAGTTGGTGGGCCTCTGTAAAGAAGTGAAAGGATGGAAGTATAACATCCCCACAGTATTCCTCTTTGACTCCGGCCCGGAGTCAGCGCCTAGGCGACCCGGAGTAAATATGGTGGGGTCGTGCCCTCAACCAGGAATAAGGGGGAGACCCCTCACTCCGCAAGCCCGGCTGGCACAGGCAGCGCGAACGAGGAATCAAGCCAAGGCCAGTACCAGCCAAGAGCCTCCAAGGGGGGAACACGAACCAGGGAGAAGGAAGGAGGCTGTGGAAGTAGAGGACGACGATGATGAAGAGGAAGAGGACGAAGGCTGCGCAGAGAAGAGGATCAGAGAGCGGAGTAGCGGGCAAGGAAAAAGGGAGCCAGGGGAGAGGTCGAACCAATCATACATGACGGACCGCCCAAAAAGAAGAAATACGCGGTCCGGTTGGAAGAAGGATTTGACGTAGAGAAGGTGATTGACCGGCTGCTGGAAGGGTATAATGACCTCATGACCCTGAAGGAAATCCTAGCGTCAGACCCGCGACTCCGCAATGAACTGAAGGGGAGGTTATCACGGCGCCTGGTGCCCAATGTCCATCTGGGTACGATCCTGCCCAAGGAGGCAGAGTGGGCAGAGTCTGGTACGAAGATGGACTGGAAGTGCGTAGCCTGCGGTACGGTGGATTTGATGGTAAGGGTTCCAAGTGCGCAGCAATGGTGGACACCGGGGCAGAGATGAACATTATTCGGGAGGCGGACGCGATCATATTCGGGCTGGATATAGACCGTTCTGACTACAGTATTCTGCATGGAGCCAGCTGTGAGGCCGTGTTTTGTGGGACAGCCTCGAATGTGATCGTCGAGGTTGGAAAGGTGAAGGTCAGGGTATGCTTCTTCATACTGCCAGACGTAGACCATGGAATCCTCCTGGGAGGTCATTCCTAAGCAGGATAGAGACCGTGATGTTCAACAAACATGACGGGACATTGATCCTCCTCTTATGCGATCCTGCCTGCGGGAATTATGAAATAATTACTTGCAGGAACACTGGGCCAAGAAGTATAAGGAACCGGCCCAATCCAGGATCATTCACAATCAAGGAGTCGGAAGGGGAGCGCAGGAGGCTCTGGGCAGAGCCCGAAGCAGGAGAGGGGGTGGAAGCATTTTCCCTCAGCCTGTCAGATGTTGGGAAGACCATGGACCTGGTGGCCGCGCATGAGATGGCAGATCCGGATGCCATCTAGGCCTTGAGGGAACAAGTTCTCGAATGCCCTGAGGCAGGAAGGTTGAAATTGGTATATCGGCTCCCAGGCAGTGGAGGGAACCCCGCATCAGCGCAAACACAATCTGTGAGTCGGCCTTTTTTAGGGGACGGCTCAAGCAGGGTTCCCAAAGGCGGTACAAGACGGTAGATAAGAAATGCCGCCCGGTACCCGTCCTCGTTACAGAGGACGAGGAAGCATATTACGAGAGGGAGCGAGGGTTGATTCGACGAATGAGGGAAAGTGCTTTAGCAGGGCCATGTCGTATCAACGAAGGGAACGAGAA